GCTTAAACTACAGCAAAGAAAATATCGCTTGGATAGCAGAAAAAAGTCTAAGAGGGCAGAGGGTGAAACACTGAAATAAACTGCCTGGGAGGATTGTGAAATCCCCATTGTTAGAGGCTTTTTAGAACACGTTGGACAAGCACGTCAGGAATGACAGGCAGAGTTCATCCTGCCCGCAGGCAGAGGATGGGCTAAAAATATCTGAGAGTCCCTTCAAGCTTTATTTTCAGTGATTTAGCAGAAGGCCGATTAAGCTGCTCAGAACCACCATCAGCTTCAAGACAAAAGCCATTTTCAATCAGTCAAGCACGTTCACATACAAAGATACCTATTTAAAAAAAATAAAATCCATATTCCCTTCCTAAACCAATGCTTAGCTTCCCAAGTGTGGGGGTTTTAATTTGAGATGGTTGAGTTCCCACAGCAATGACGTTCAATCCTTTAGCATTTACGATGCTACTAAATCAAAGCCAAACATACCACAGGTTCCCTAAGTTCAGTAGGTGTTGTGGGTTGGGTTTCAGCATTTCAACATCCTGAATAACTACAGCTCTCCACCCAAACATCCTGTGGTCTGCTCCGAATGTCCTGTCGGAGACGAGGCTCGGTCGCTGGCTGACCATGTCATGGAAGCCGCTTACTGTGGCTGGTCACTGCCTGCACACACCTCTGCATCACTCCTGGAAGCCAACACGACACACCAGAAAGCCAGGAAACATCTGCTGGAGCTAAAACCACTAATTCAGTAGGTCTCCACTAGCGGCTTTTCACCTACGTGAAAATTTAAGGGAGATTTTCAAAGGCACCTAAAGGATTTGGGCGCACAAATCCACCGCCAGCAGGGCTCACGCTGCTAAGCAACAAAGACATCTGAATATATCCTTCTGAGAGCACGCTAGCCTCATTAAAGACAATGATGTAACTTCTGTTATAAAACTGGTGCTGGCTTCACTGCTAGTCTTTTGCAAGAGGATTTTGGTTCCCCAGCTTATCCTTGCTAACAAGTGCCCTGGTTCTGCGAAGGGAACAAGCACTGTCACCCTTACCGCTTGTGATCAGGCTCACCACAAACAGGAGGATGCCTGGTGTGAAAACAAGCTAGAGACACCCAGCTCAGTAACAAAATGTCAGCCTGCTACAAAATACTACCCAAAAGGGAATTTGAAAACTCTTTTTCAAAGAAACCACTGCTTTCCCTAGAGGTTGGACCTGCAAGACTGAACTACTCCATTAGTTCAGCTTGTACGTGGTACAGATACTCTGAAGGCGCTTTGCCCCAAACTTCTTTTTGTGGAATTTTCAAGACAGGCTGCAAAGCATGTCCAAAACCAACACTGAGCAGCCTGGAGGTGTTTAGCCTCAGGCACAGTGTTATCACTACGCTACTTACTGCGTGTGTCACAGTTGGGCAACGCCAGTCCTCCCAGCGCTGCTGTAACACCAAATTAAAAACATCCCAGCGCTTCCAAATAGCCACTAGCGAACATTTCAGGTCTCTTATGTACATTCCCTTTCCAGACTATGACAGTGCTTAGTGAATTTATTCAGACAAGTGATGAATGGAACACTTTCAAATAGCAGCAGAATGACAGCGAGCAGCCTCTAGCTGTTGAAGAGCGACGGTCCACGCCACAAGCCAAGCAACCCGCGCGGCGTTCCAGGGAAGGCAGACGGGCTGAAAGCGCCCACACCGCGGAGCCGGCAAGCGTCCGCCTTGCCATCCTGGTCATTCTTTTGTTAGCTATTTTTAGTTTTAACCTTATGACACCTATTGATGGCGAAAGCAATTAGCGAGCAGAGACTAACATCCTGCATTCTTCTAAAAACAGCAAAGCACGGAGAAAAGACTTAGTCAAGCACACGATGTGAACATGACAGCCTTAGCCTCCGGAGGAATCACGTGGCTAAATACACCAGACCTGAATAAAGAATTGTGTAGGTGACTCAAAGAGGTTTCCAAACAAGCAGCAGGGTCCCAAGTGTGACGCACATTTAAGCAAAAGGTTTAATAGAAAAAACTCTATGAAAAACTTTAGTATCTTCTCGTTAACTTGCTCATTCCAGCCCCCAACACTCACACATTTCACCAAGCAGCAGCTCTAAAAATGCTATGACAGCCGTGTGATTTACACCATTCACATATCCTCATGTAAAAGTTCAGTTACCAGCTGTGAAAATCATGTAAGAAGCCATACTGCAATTTATGATCTACCACAGCAATAACCCCAAGCCCCAGAAGCGCGTGACTCCATCCGGTGCGCTGCCAGCATCGTGGAACTGCTGGTCTATGGAACGCCTGGAACGCTGCGTGCCTGACGCAGGCTTGGTGCTTCAAGTCAGGCAAAAAATTAATTGGAACAAAACTGTGTAAAAACACATTAAATGGAACATCTTGTCTGTCTGCTAACACTGATCTGGAATTTAGGTAACTTTTTAAAGTTTTGGAAAACCATGATAACCAGCTGTTTCCAAAAGCCTTTGAAGTATCCCATTTTTACACCATAATTCAATAGATACAGCAAAGGTTGCAAAAACCATGTTCAGACACTCAAGCCTCCTTTGAAAGGACATCATTACTTACCCAGAACTGGAAGATGGTAATACAATGTCTTACCATAATCACAAGTAATTAAGAGGGATGTGGGGAAGACAGAATTGAAAAAGAAGCCTGCTTTTATGACTGCTTTTGTTAAAAGAAATAAAAATGAGTACTTTCTTTGTGCAGTCCTTGTTGCTCGAGTTAGAAAAACCAATACAAAACAAAGAAGTGCACTCTAGAATAAATCCTTAAATGAATCCCTTCAGATAACCAAATTATTTTTTAGATGCACACAATATTGCATTAGAAAAAGTGATGAGACTGAAAATATCCAGTATTCAAAGGACCTGTTGCATCCTAGACACCCTCCGGAAAAGTCCATCTGCAAAACCAAAACACGTTATCACTGCTTCATTTAGACTCAACATACTTGTTGCACTTCTAAAACCTAGAGGCACAGAAAATACAGAAGGAAGTGCTTTTAAAAACATTTGCTTCAGGACAAAGAAATCACATCTTGGCTACTGCAGCAAACATTACTGGAAAAAGCACTATTGTTACTCCTGGCAGGAATCAGGCCAGAGAGCTGCAATTAGACAGAGAGGGAAAAAGAGAAAAAAAAAAAAAGGCTAATTGACATGTTTTCCAGACAGAAATGCATTTTTAGTTCAGCTTTCTATTTTTTATGCTTTCCTATAGGGATAGGAGTAAAACTATGTATTATTAGTGTTATATAATTGAAGAAAACCAAACCCTGGTGGATAATGGTATAAGAAAATTGATACAGAACAGCAAAGGGAAAAGTAGCAAGTTCCCAATATTGACCACAATTTAGACATAAATATACTTTTTTCCATATCACAAATGGAATAATTTGGATTGTAATCTTTCCTAATATTATTTTAAAGATTTGACTGAGCAAGCATGAGGGTCATTAGGTTCAACTCTGGATCTCTCATGTCAAGAGTGGCAACAGCGTTAGTCCTCTACTTTCCTGCATAAGTGTTGGAGGGGACCCTCCAATCCCCCCAAAAAAACCCGCCAAGAATACAAGTTTCCAAATTGCACAAAATGTTTATTGTTAGTCTAGTACATTCAATATCATATTGACTAGAATACAGTAATTAAAAATATTTTTGGCGAATTGAAATTTTTTAAAAACCATTTCAAACACTCCAAAAAGCAATGCCATGAAAAATTAACTTAAAATTAAAACAAACATATTCAAGCAACAGTTTCACTTTTGACTACAGAAAACTTCTACATGTATTTTAGTGGTTTTAACAGTACTGCATTTAAACAAAATATATGAACTCACAAAAAGTGGAAAATATTAAAATAGACACAATGTTAAAAAAACTGAGGCATCCAGATGTGTGAGACTGTTGTACTAGGAATTACCTGCCCAGTTGTTCCATTTGTTCTCTTTTGGGGCAGTTAACTAGTCTGCCGTAGTGGTGCCATTTCTCCAATCACCTCCTAACACCATACAGCAATTCTTCAATGCCTTGAAATTAAAGTTTGTCCCTCCTGTAAATTCCGTATATAAATGTATATATTCTAAAATATGCAACCCACTGGCAAATTTAGGTGCAGTATTAAACGGTACCTTGAAAAACATCCCTATCTTGCTACTTATTGTTTGCAGACAGGCAATATCCAGAACAAGATCTGAAAAAGGCAACACGTTTTGGTTTTGTTTTTAAATACTGACATGAAAAACTGAGTAAATTAGAAAAAGGATAAAGTCAATCTTAATATAAGACATTCATTATATAGTGGGACAGGATACAATTAGTGGACAAACAGAATTACAATGACTCTTCTACATCTGGTCATTTAATGCACGTGTTCTACAATCATGACTTGCTACCACATTTGGTTTTCCTGTACAGAAAGACAGCAATACAATTAAAGACCAGTTTTACTCTGTGTTAAGTCCCAACACGACAAGTGACACCACAGGAAGTTCTTCAAGCTCTCCTCCCTGAAAGGCTGTTCTTGTGAAGAACCAATAACTTTGAATTCAAAGCGGTCAGCGATCGCTCTATACCTGCTGCTCTGACCAGGAGTTCCCAACAGAACAGCCCCAACGAAAATTGGTGGGAACAGGTTCTGCTGGCCAATTTAAATCCCTTTGAAAATCCAAGCCTTAATATTACAGCACCGAAATGTGTGTACAGATTCTAGAGAAATGACTGACTCTCTGGTATGGATAGCAGGATATTAGCTGTCCATCTTCCTTAATACTGTCAACCCTTGATAAGTCAGCTTTCATCCAAACTGCTGCCTGGCTGGGCAGCACGGAGCAGAATTGGGAATCTTGAGGAGAAAAATCACGTTAACTATTTCTTTTCAAGCACTTCATTTCCATCATGGATAAAGCCAAATTAAGGTGCTGTTTAAGTGGTACTATAGATGAGCAGAATACTATCATGTTAAAACTCAGCAGAATCACATTTAGATTTTAGCTCATAAAAGTGGTTATTACAATTACACTTGTAATACAACCTTTGGAAGAGGTACAACGTTTGCTTGTCAGTACAGTATGTGGAATGTAACTATTTCTTGCAAGATTTTGCAACATGAGTAACTGCATAGATGACAGTTGTGTGTTTTCAGTTCAATAAATGTACTTTTAAAGTTTACAAAAAACACAAAAAGTTTCTATAAAAGTCACATTATACCAAGATAATGAGTGGTAAAAGTAGATTATTTGTCTGTGATTCATGTTTAATAAATGACTAGTGGAAAGGCGATAGAAACCAATTTCAAATCAAGAGAGTTACATTTTTGCTATTGCACTGACTTCACCGTTTGAATCACTAATTTAGAAAAATTCACATAGTTAAAAATTGTAAAATTAAACTAGAATACAAAATTTATTTGTAAACATCAGGTAGCCAGTTCTACTAACATGGAATGGATTCTTGGTACTGCAGTACAGTATCTTCGTTATTTACAGCACTTGCCGTAAGATGGGCAATTGCAGGACACATACAACATCAGTTCACAGTAATTGTGTTCAGAGAACTATCAAAGTCAGTGCAGATTTTCTGTGCAATTTTCCAATTTCCCCGAATTCCTTAAGTCAAATAATACTGTTACAGAGGCCAAGTGCAGATTTTTTTTTTTTTATATATATATCATAAGTGACGAATTATGTCTGCAGGACTTCTGTAAAGGTACTTCCAAATGGCATAGTAATGAACAGCAGCTGCTGTGGCCACAAATATGTGCCAGATGGCATGGGCAAACGGAATGACTCCATCGCTCTTGAAGAACACCACACCCAGACAATATATCAAGCCTCCCCAGGCAACCTCCTGAAGTCCATCGGTGTTGCTCTGTCAATTAACAAGGAAAGATAGGGATGGGGTGTAAAGGAGGGAAAGGGTATTTTATGCACAAAATACAAAGTGCTTTCCCCCCAGGAAAAGAAAGCTGGCTGTCAACTCAGAACATCTTGGGTGTGACAGATGGACAAGTGAGAAACCCAGTATATTTATATTACACTTTGTGAAATATATAATTATCTATTTATATAATATGTCTCCACAGCACTATAGAAGTAATAGAGGGACAACGCAAGAATTAAGACAAGTTGGATGTTTTGCTTCATGCTCATTAGCAGAGCGAACAAACGCGGAGAAAAAGAAACCCACGTTACTGTGCATAAGCGTGAGTGTAATGCAACTCCTCACTGGATGAAGCATCCAGCAAGGTGTTGGTGTAGCACAACATTCACAAGGAACAGTTAAGGCATTACCTTGTAGAGGTGTCAGATTTATACTAGCAGCAGAGAGGGTTATTCAAAGTTATTTAAAATATGTAAATATAAATAAATAATAGTCAAAGTTTTGAGGTGGACAAGACAGAGCAGGATGCTTTACAGATGCACCAAGAAATCTTTTTAAAAAAAACCACAAAAAAACCAGTTGCTGAGAGATCAAGTATCCCAGATACAGTGCATCAGTTTGATAAAGTTCGACTACTAAACTTTTCAATTTTCCCCTGCTTCACTGATAAAAAGAATCCTCTAGTAAGAGACAAAACCTTCTAGCTTTGTTGCCCCTAAGTAATTTTGAAAGGGGTAAGAGTCAATTTACTTCCCCCACCTTGGTCCAAAACACAGCATCAATTGATTAGATTTTCCAGGGAGCTCTTACATATACCAAGAAAAAGATGTGTTATCAGAAGTCCATTGCACTTTCATAAAGAAAAAACTTCTTTCCCCAATCTGCAAGTGGTAAGTGGGCATTAAGTAAGTTGATAAATACTAATATCTAGAAACATTCTTCAACAGGCTAAGGTACTTCACATCTTTATCATTTTTACTCAAAAGGAAGTAATTGAATTGTTATGTCCGACATCCTTTCAGAAGTGAGGGTCTTCAGAAGTGGAGTTTGGAACCTAACCTCTTTTTATCTAGACCCTGTGGCCCAGATTCAGCAAAACAAGGTAGCATTTCCTTGAAATGTAAACTATGAATTCAAAATATATATATATATATATAACTGACTATATTTGGTTCTTCTGCAGAGAACATTTACAGTTACGGTGGCCTAAAATTAACATCTTTTCAGAAGAAAGATTGCTGCACTGGAACTTAAGCTAGTTATAAAAGGAAAGTTTGTATGTTTGTAATGTTAATAGTCACATTTCTTACCATGGATGTCACTACCAGAGCAGGAGAAAATCCCATCGCTAAATAGAAAAAGAGTTCAACAATCTTATACCTAAAAAGGAACGATTCGAGTCATGTAAGGAGGTGTACAAGAGGATCAACATTTCCTTCAACAGTAAAGAAAATATTTTAAATTTTATGTTAGCATGGGTCCATTAAACTATTCAGAAAGCTTTCTGTGCAGATAAATAACCAGTGTTTTATGACAAAAATAAAGCTAGTATTTATCTCTACATTGTACAGTTGCAGGCAATACCTTCTTCTCTAAATACTGCCTAGATGCATTCATTTGCATTAAGTACTAGTGAGAATAAAACATTGAGACAACTTATATTTTCTTATTTGACAAGAACCTCAATAGCTCATCTCCAAAACAAAGAAGTTGGGTCTTCCTCCCTGAGGATAAGTAATGAAAGCAGGCTCAAGAATTCAGATCTGAAACTCAAGGACTCGCATCTCAAAACAAAAATAAGAAGGTAGCAGGAGTCAATATGCATCAGTATATACAAACAATATAATGTTGCAGTATAAACTATACACAATGCTACATAAATTGGGGGCGTAAGAAAGCCATCGTTTCAACTGGTTTCTTACCCTACCCACTTTCACCCCTGCTTTCTTGTAGCAAAAGTTTTAGAAGTGGATACTTCCCTCCCACCCCTTTAAAAGAAGACAACAATATAGCCTAAAGACATGTTATGACAGGGTGAATACAATTATCTTCTGACAAGATGTAAGTTTGCGTCATTCTCATCACATATTTTCACTGTTTCAAAGCTCTTATTTCAATGTGTGAAAGGCTGGATAGGAACACTCAGAAAGCAAGAAAGCCCCACCCCACCTTTTAATTTCAGTTTAAAGTTAAATGCAAATAATAATTCTTACTTTTCATGGTAGAGAAATACATAAATGGTTCCTCCAGCAGCCATCAGCCAGATAAACCAACGCATGTGAGATGCTAGAGGCCCAAGCTCACGTAGATTTAACCTGGAGGTACAAAGATTTCAAGACAAAAGTGATGAAATGGAGTGTACTGAGTCCACAGGAGTACTGTGGACTCAGTCTCACCATACTGAGTGACACAAGAGTAGTAGGGCTTGATAAAAATATATAAATATTCAGAGCTATAACTTAGGCATGACATGGGAGAAGACACTTGGACATTCTATACACAGAGAGGCAGAAGGTGTGTTTGCATTGACGTGAAGGAAGCATAAACTGGGGTTTGTGGAATATAAATTACTTTCTGCTGTCTTCTAATACTGCTTTCTGTTCAGCAAATCCCAGGCGATTACATTATGCTGCATTTCACAATGCAAAATGTGGTCAATTGCATCTAAGAAGATACCTATAGATTTTGGAAAGCTGCAATGATAAACTGTTTACGTTGGAAAAAGCTTTAATTCTGAAGCTGCGCTTCTGATTTCTTACCATGGTGCATATGATGCCGCAATAAAGACATAGATCATCATTCTGTCACACATGTGAAAGCAATGCTCCATGGTCCTAGTAAGAGAGAGAACAAGTCACCAAGACAGATTTTGGAAAGATTTTTGTATCATCTCAGTTTTCTGACACACTTTGGAATTACTTTGGGGAAAATACCCTCAGCTCCATAACCTCTTAAAAACATTTGGAAGACTGTCCAGCTGACTTCAACTTCAGGAGGTCATAAGTGAGACACGTAGGAGATGAGCACTCCTCCATTCCTCTTCTCCCCTTCTCCACCCCATTGTACATCCTGCTTTCTGGCAAGGAGGCCGAAAGCTGTCACATCAACTCCACCTAATCCAGCAACTGTTACTATTCAGCGCCTACTGAATCCAATTTACGGCCCAGGATTATATAAGAGTCATAATGGAAAAAAAAAAAAAAAAAAAAAAAAATCATCACATCTTAGTTTTTCTATTGCTGCCTTGCTCCCAAGGAGGCTTTCTGCTAGTTAGCTGTGTATTGTATTATAATTCTCTTGGCAAACTCTGCGTTCCTCAAAGTATTCGAGCGTGCCATATACTCCCAGACAGTGTTCTCATTTCTGCAATGGGATTATATCCACCACTCACTTAGATTATGTTTTTCCCATTCAACTTCTGGATTAAGAGCCACTAGGGCCTAGAAAAACACATATTTTCTTTGCGAAAAAGCAGCAGACATTAAAGTTTGTTCATGTATGAGCTTGGCACACTATTTCTTCCAACAGAATCGAGGGTGATTTTTTCATGATTCAGTACAAGGTACCACTCCAGCCTTCTGTAAAATCATGTTTTTGACTGAGAAACACAATGGAAAAACATCACAGAAGATGAAAATAAAACATCTTATAGTGATACCTTAAGTGACTCTTTTTCCAAGAAACGATATGAAATACTGTGGAGACAATAAAGAGAGCACAGAGCCCCATGCCATACATCCATGCTGTTATCTTTTCCCATCGATCATCAGAAAGCCGGTGGAGAAGGGCACTACCCACAATCGCAGGAACAATGAGGAACTAAGAAAACAAAAGGCCATTGTTAAGTCTTTACTGGCAGCCAGCATAGTACCACCCACAGTACAGCAACAGCAGGGCAGATAAAACTGCAGTATGCCCCATATAAGACCATATGTAAAACATCTGATGGCACACTCCTAACTGGAGCAAGTTTTTCATTTAGTTGTATGTTGACACACAAGCGTCAAGACTTCAGCAATGTCTCACACAACTAGGTTATACCCGTTTGCGATAAATTTCTCCTCACATGCTATTAGGCTAGGTTACTAGCTCCTCTAGCCATGACACAAAATCAGACAAACAAAAGAATCTGCAAAGTTTTACCAGTGTTTTTATTTTCACATTCTGCTTTGTGTTTTTATTTAAAAAGTTTTGATCTTACTCTAGGCTTGGATCTAAACCACAGGACAGACCAAAATAAACTTAAGTCCCAAATGAAAAGAGAAAGCATTTGGAAGCATGCAGTTAAGTAGAAGACAAGAGAATTAAGCAAAGGCTTTGCAGAACTTGGGTTTTAGATATCATAAATAAATTAGATGCAAACTTCTTTTATGAATAGACTCAACGCACAAAGATTATGTTCTTCTAATGCAGCATATCCAAGTCTGTTTTCCTTACCACCTCCCTCTCAAGCAGCTTTAATTCACATCTTCCAAAACAACCACTGTTAAAACATCATGATGGAATTAGCAGGCTCACATGAAGTATCTAAGAAGTGGGCTGCAGGCTTCATACACATTTAAAACTATACTCCTTTCCAGAATAAATTACATCATATACCTTTGTCTCATTCAGAAAAAAACAAACTAGGAAAAAAAAAAAAGGCGGGGGGGGAGCATGTCCAACAAGTATTTAAAGAAAAAAACCTGCTGACTCAGACATTTCTACCTGTCTCCCTCCACCATGAAGGTATATCTTTGTCAGCCTTCCAAGTTAAAAATGCCGCACAAGTTCCCTTCCAGGCCCTACGAAGTATCTTAAGATGTTAATTTGTTCACCTGAATTGTAAATAAGCTTCATAGGTTAAGTTCTTCGTAGTTTAACCCAAGTCTCACATGCTAAACAATAAAGCTAGGAACAAGCAATGTTTAAACAAATCTAGCAACTCTGCTTTGCATTACAGGTTTGATAGCTTAAGAGTGCGTAGTTCTGGTCTAGCCTGCACTGTCTTTGTCCTTTATCTGCTTACAGACTAGAAGAAATTGAGGCTCTGATCACAGCTACAGTGCAGAAGATGCAGAGCAGACTGAATGACTCTAAAGTAGATGGTTAATCCAAAGACTTAAAAAAAGCCAAGCAAACAAAAAAAGTGGCTTTTACTTCTGGCTTTTGAAATACATCAACTGTAGCTTCATTACTATTGTATTTTCTTCCTTTTTGCAAAATTTAGTACGTTTACGCCAAAAGCTGTAGAGCCATGGAAATGAAAAGTATAGCATTCCTATACCCACAGTATTTGGACCAGAGGTGAAAACGCTTTCTGAGTTTAATGAGACTATGGAAGTTGACCTCATGCACTTCAAGGCCAAAAATAGTCTGCGCGTCTGGCTTCTCATTTATCACAAACCATAAATTTCCATATACATATCCTGGATAGCCCCCAAACTCAAGAACGGTTAAAGTGTTTCTCTCTTCAGGAGATTAGTCACTCCTGTTTTCCCACATATGGCATACAGTTTAAAGTGTGGCTGAAGCCCTTGAGACAGCAACGAACTGGCTAGATGTGGCAGTTTTTGCAGGAGATGGGAAAATACTAAGCTCCAGAAATAGTTTTCTAGCCATGTTTCTTTAAGCTGTGCAGTCACGCTGTATCCACGTTCATCAGTTTCCTTCCCGATTTCTAGTGCGAATTTCAGTTTTGATTAAACTTGACAGAGAACTAAAAAGTTTCAGAGAGATTATGTACCCACAAGAATCGTGAACACAAGTACTAGGTAAAATAGCAAATCCCTACTAATTCCCTACTAAAAGCCTGGGCATGAGCTGTGCAGAGATTCTGCCTGGAGCTCCAATTGAGACCATTTTATAGGAAGGAACACCTCTTTGGAAACTAGATTTAGATATTACACAGTGCCTTTCTTACACAGATACCCCAGCTTTTTTACTAAAATAAATATTTCACAAGTTAAGCTATTATGTGTAATGCTCAAATGGGGCAACACAGAGTTTGATGCCAACCACTTTTTCCAGTAATTATCATATATAAAGTTAGAGGGTTAAAACAAATAAGCAATTTTCTTATCACCTCTTTCTTTGCACCTTCAGAATGAAGAATGCAGCTACAAATGAATACATGATGAAGACCTGAATTAATCTCTTTTCTGCCTTGTCCTGGCTCTGAAGAATAATTCTGCTTCTCACAGGGAAGAGCACTATACTTCCATGAGAAGGATTTATTGTTTTTTCTAAGTATTCTATTTGGAAACACTTTCCCTCTGTGCCTGATATGCATCATGGGAACAGTTACACTAAACAAGAGATGTTTTATTACTCTTTTTCGGACCAAAAATAGCTAGATTAAAGACAAAATCCAGAAATGATACTCTGCTGTTCCAGCCAACTGGATAAAAGTTCGTTAGATACTAATGCCATAATAGATAACATATGATGCAATGGACTTAATTATATCTCACATGCATCTTACAAAAGAAATAGAACACTTTAGTCAACAAAACAAGGCGGATTTTCCCATGTTCATTTGAAAAAAATCTCTAGCGCAAGAACTGCATTTTAATCTTCAGAATGGAGAAGCAATCAATCAGTCCTTTAAAAGGAAGGGTATTTACCAAAAAAGTAGTCAAAGAGTCAGAACTAATAGAATGAGTGTGATTGTGCCATGTCATTTTACAGCAATGACATAGCATTTCTAAGTTGCCAGCATTTCTAGTGAAAAAAAAACCCCAAAAAACTAGCTACAAGTCACAAAAAGCTTTGCTTCTTTCAGCATGAAGTGTGACTCTTCCAAATCAGTATTGTTAAACCCAACAATTTAAGGTACTGTGAGCAAACCCAGAACCATGATACTCCAATCTACTGATTTTAGCACCTTTATTAATACTTGCTAAATCAGAAACGGGGCTGGTAGAGCGATTTACAGAACAAGAGAGTAGGCAACAGTTTCACTAAGTTTTGTAGAGAAATGTCAGAAAAAAAATGAGAACGTGAAGTTACAAACCCCTTTGCAATAAGGAGGAAGACAAAGGATTAAAATATATTTATTTACAGGTATAGGCAGGAATCTTCAAGAAGAGACTTGGGCACAACCCCCATATGATGTATTTTGGGAAACTGACTACCACAACTCCTACTGTCACAAATAGCAGCCACTGCAAAAAGCCTTAAGGCACAAAGAAAGATGCTGAAACAGTAAGCTGTAAACCTGATCAGGCGTACTTCAGGGAAATTACATTCTCTGGTTACTACCTTGCAGTAAAGTATCCTGTATCTTCCATCTATCTGGGGTTGCTTAGGATACTGGTACATTGGTCAGCATTTTATCTGTATGCTTTCTGTATTTCTGTAGACAATCTCTCCCATAGAGATGTTCAAAATTTTTGCTTTCGTATGTAACATTCATGCCTAATTAAGTTATTTTCTTTGCACACAAGGCTATGCACGTCTTGTAGTCAGCAACAATGACCTTTGATGCACAAGCCACTGTAGCAAAGCACGGCGTTATTGTTTGCAATCTCGCATGCCTTTCTTTGAGAGGGAAACGTTAACAGCATAAGATGGTCCCTACACTTCCTCTTTGGAAAGTAAGACAATGGAAAGATCAACGAAGCAGCCAAAATCACATGTGACACTTAGAGGGAACCATGAAGGACTATGTCCATCTCAAACTGCCTGCTCCAGGAGCGTAGTCCTGAAGCCAAGTACAGTGTCTCCCTACTCATCAATTTTCTCTTCTCAAATAAGGAGACAAGCATCGTGGAGGGAGAAGCATACTGGTAAGTTGGGTTGTGCAATACACAGAACAGAGAAACTGCTAATATCAGTCAGGTAGAATGGAGACATTTTCATCATAAAAGCCTTTCTGAAATTTTGATGACACCTTCTTCCATGCTCAAATGGCCTGCTAAATGCTCCAAGCCTCATTTTTTAAATATTTATACTTCTTTCTTCTTTTTTCCATACACTGCACAAACCAAGACTCGAATAGAGAGACTATAACTTATTTTAAGAATAGTTCCTCCTTTTAAGGCAGTTAGAAGAAACTTTTAGAGCAGTATAAAGCAAGCAGTGTCTAAATTATGAGGTTTTAATACAACAGAGCCTATCTTTTGTCTGCTAAACCTTATATACACTAGAAAGTTTCACGATGAGCCATCCCTCCCCTTAGATTTAGCTTACCTTACAACTCAAATTCTTACAACTCCTGCTTCTCTCATACACCGTTTCCTTCCTGTTCTTCTAAACACAGAGAGCAGTCTTCTGTGTCTCTGTATTCAACTGCTTAGCTGCCCTTCCTGTCTCCTAGTGTCTAAAGACAAGTCAGTGCTTCATTTAAAGCTAAAAAAATCCAAGACATTTTAAATACCCTTACTAGTTAGAAATGTGAAGATGCCTTACTATGCTACACAAAGTTACCTTTTAAGTATTGTCACAAAAAGCCATGCATGGGATTCTGTATCCCCACTTACTGTTTGGGGTTTTTTTTTGGTTGGGGTTTTTTTGGTTGTTTTTTTTAAGCAGCTGCCTAAACTGACTACTGTGTATTTTTAAGTCAAAAAACAGACGGGATACCTACTGAGGAGTACAGCCATGCTCGTAAAATACAAGTTGACCACTTTCTCTATTATGAATACAGCTTTGAAAAAAAAAATATGGAGAACCATTGCTAAACTCTGTTTTGTAGAAATTACATCAATGTCTAATTGACAACTCATACCGTAATCTAGCAGCAAAGACTCAACCGCTTGACTGTCTAACATTTAGTAAAACAGCCTGTAACACAGAGGAGAAGCAAGCATCCCGCCCCCAGCTTTTTCTGTATAATCCACTGTGCTTCCCCAGATTAGATTCCTATTTCAAGGCTTTAAATTTTGATTAGAAGTTATTTATTGCATACAATTTTATTAAAGAAGTAACAATCCCTCTTTTACACTACACTTTAGTTTCTTCCAAAGGATATGTTAATATTGCATATCCCCAAGCTGTTAACAGTTCCTGGTAGGTTTTAGCACGTAGCTTGACTGTTCAGAAAGTAATTAGACAGCTTCACCAGAATCTGTAGCATATCAGAAAATACTGATATGACATCTTGGCTGTAACCTACTGCTAACAGGCAGGAATAAGACATGCCTGTTTTTCAACTAGATGAAGGTTAGAATTGCTAAGGACTACAGCAACGTCTGCCAGATATTTTGAAATCTAACTTTTTGGCCAGAGTAAACAAGATCTGTACAAGGATTATGAGATAAACTACATACTTGTGCTAACTAACAGAATGTTGCTTCATTCTCTAGACAAATGAGCATGTATTTACATAGTGCTGTACATGAGACCCTTGGCTTAAAAACACGTAAGCTTCAGTTAGCTTTTCTATATGTAAACCAAGGTGATCCTGTTTTTACTAGCAACACAGAGCTGTATGTTGGTTATTTATAAAAGATACACAAAGGATCCTTAAGAACAGCTCTTTCTAGAACTGAAGAGTCCCGTGCACTACCTTGAGCATTCGTATCTGTAGCTCACTCAGACACACTGGAGATAAGAGACTGAGGACAAAAAGTCAAACATACTTCAGATGTTTGGAGTTAAACAAGGGACTGAGGAGAAGCACAAGCTGCTTTTATAAAAGGGCAAATGTTATCTTAAAAAACAAACACACACATTTTTAAGTCCCTTTCAAAGTGCTGGACAGCAAATTAACTTCCCAATTCCCCCCCCCCCCCAAACCTGCTTTCCTTATTTTGTATACCGTATATTCAAATCTAGTATGGATCCTTACATTATGAAAATACAGACAGACTAGGACTTTTAGTAGGGCTGTCAGCATTATTAGTGCCTCTTTCAAAATAGCAGATTTCTCAAAGAAGCGATTCATAGATATTAAGCATCCGAACTAAGCCATTCCAGCTCTTCTAGCTAATACCCACATGATAGTCTTATGAAGCTTTCCACTTCTAACATGAATAAATCTTTCTTACACTTGCAGTATACAATTTGCACAATATTATGTCAGCACAGTACTGGGAAATCTGCCTTGCAAGACTAACTAGTATAGGCCTACATTCACTTTACCGTGGTCATCCTTTGACTGGGACAGAGGAAAACCACCTAAAGACATGTAACTTACTTCGGTGGAAAGGAATCTTATGAAGCATCTGGAGCTCCTAAAGATTCAGAACAGGGATGGATTACCAGCCATCTAATTAACGTTACATTTTCTGGACTGTTTCTGAAGCTTATACAACAAAACCAGAGAGGTTGTAAATATGGATACACTTGGGCAGAGGTAAGCATTTAGCCATGTGAACCCCCCAAAATTTATCAAAACATATTTAAAAAAAAAAAAAAGAAGGGGAAATGTACTTATGTACTTACTGCATGTGTGTAACAGTTAGCAGCATGTTCATAGCAAGTGGGTTTGTAGCGGCTGTTCGCTGGAGCTGGGTGGTTCATGAACCTGTTGAATAATTAAGAGGTACTTTTAGGAAAGTTAATAAACCATCTCTTTGGAGCGTCATGGAGTACCTACAACCTAGTAGTGTTAAAAGTTATAAGCACAGACATGTTAAAAATAAGTTACTTGAACTGTAAGTTCTCGCAGATAAGTTCTCTAACAGAAGCATATGTTAACTAAATTTCTGTGACTGCCTGTCACAGCAGATGGTTATCTTTAATCAAGGCTTTGCATACAGAACTTCAGACCCCCTCTTTTCCGATGGCCTGGTCAGAGGAAGAACGAACTATTTCCTATTTAAATTACATAATATGGACTCAAATTACTCTTGAAATATGGACTTCATCATAGCTGCCAAGGGTTACTCTTCTGTTAAGAAGTTCTTGAAACTAGAGCAATATTCCAGTTCTAAAACACCTCAGAATAAACCAACTTGAACACTGACTTTTCAATTCCCATAGCGAGCAATATTTGTGTTTGGAGCATTAGATGGCTCGATTTTTCTTTGAGGCTAATCCTATTTTCTGTCTGTAACCAAGATCCAAGCTACACCGGGAAGAAAGGAGACTCTAATGGTTAGCTCCGAAAAGGAAAAATTTCAAGAGGCTTACCATAGACATTCCACCTTCTTCTCTAAGAATTTTCAAACATTACCTAACAAACAAACAATCACACCAAACACAGTCTATGTAAGCCAAATGAAATATGATGAAACTTGAGAAAGTTTTGGAAGAACTTGCCAATACAAGCGTTGCATTCAACTATTCTAAAAAACCAAGTACTTGAGCTGTTCCTGTGAAACTACACAATTTAAATCTGTGTATAAAAACCTCTAAAAGACAGCACACGTTTATATGCAACCAGACAGTCAAATCAAAGTTAGGAACTACTCCAGCTACAGTACAGTACTGTTAACCCAGCACAGCCTACTATCATACACAAGTGCTTTTTTTTCACTAATAAATTCCAGTTTACTCCAGACTATTATAAAACTACGCATTGACAATTAGTCAGGTATCCAACAAGCCAGGAACAGCTTCACAACAAATACAGAGCATGTCTGTATGTTCAGAACTGAGAGCAGCTTTCTTAGCAACTTTCTTGGCTAGATTTATATAAAGAGCTTGTTAGATAAACTTTGGTCCTCCCCCATGTCCCTCCTGGTTTAACTCAAAACTAGTCCTATTTTTATGACATCCATAAAATATTGGCCAATCTCAAACCAGGGAAAAACAACCAACCAAAAAACCCCAACGAGAATCTTATAGTTTGAGTAAGCAGTTCCAGATTTCTGGGATATAAGACACTTGGTTTTCGTGACTGATTTATTAAATGATTTGTAAACCTTTTTTTTCTAAACTGATACACAAAAACTTAACAGCACTGATAAATTAACACAGTGTCATGATCTCTCTCCAAATTGTAGCAATTTCAAAAAAAAACAATTTCAACTGTTACTAATACAAAGGATAAGAAAAATGTAAATTTCATTCACTCATGTTGAGTATAAATGGTTGTTAGCAAATGAATAATTCTGTGGGAGTTAATATATTGTTAAAAAATGGCAATTCTTTTGTCAGTGACAGATGACACCTTGCTCTCATCTCCAAGAGGATAATGACATTGTAGTCATATACAGAGGCTCGCAGAACATTTGGAAAATTATTTTGGTGCCTAGTGCGTACAGGTCTTCAACAGCTGCTGAAGACCATCTCAGCATCCTCTACAGATGGAACATTCAGTTTACTCAGTTCTGCTTCCAAGTTAGGAAACCATTTAAAAATAAAAGCATCTGTTGGCTCAGTTGAGTGACCAGGATTAGACTGCCCTTGCCCTACTCCGTAAATTCAAAGTCATGGGAAACTTTTCACTGATTACGTCTAGAATATTATTACATTTCTCCAAAGGCCATGGTGGTACCTTGGAAGTCTCACAAGAATTAAAAATAAAAAACCCAGCCCAAACTAAAGAACCAAATGGAATAAGCTTATCCTCAGTATTAGCTTTACAATTTCTGTTGTTCCAAATTTTGATACAAGATATTACCATCATCTAAAAATCTATAAATAATTCAAGGTAGCCTGCTAATGGGGCCTCCTATTATCCATTAGGGGACTACTCTTAATTTTTTTTCCTTTTCATTTATATTTATTTAGTAGCAAAGATACTGGATCTTTCTAAAGCAGTCACAATAGAGCGTGGTGTAATGTTAGATTTTAGACAGAATTATGAAAAAACACTTCAGAAAAGTCCATTTATTATTAGGACCTCTTATTCACACTAATTTAAAGACAGTGTTACTAGCAGTAAAACAGAACAGGAAGACATTAACAAAGCTATCCTTTGTCTGTTACCTACACAAAGGGTTGGGTTGTTTTTTTTTCCCCTTTGTTTGTGCCAGCATAGGAATGATGCAAATACTCCTTCATCTGTGCGGTAACTTTAGGCTGGCAAAACAGACAAGCATCAGGTTTCAGAAAGCTTCACACTTACAAAACATTTCAAACTTTTTTTTTTTTAAATATATACTTCAATTCTGATTATTTAATTTAAAACAACAACAAAAATGGTTAGTAACATGGCTGTTGAACAGAAAGCTTCACTGGACTCCCACAACAGCTGAAACTTGCTTTTCTTCCACCAGAGAGAGTTCTAGCAGAACACCACCATTAGCTATACTTCACCCATCCCCTTCACCTACATGTTTATACTACTAACACCACCATCACCACCAGTGTGTTTTAGCAGGAGAGGAAGAGTTAGACTTTACCTCTACCTTAAAGAAAAGGATCTCGCAATACCCCAGTACCTAACTTTGCTGTACATTTGACATACCTGCACCTCTCCTTTCTGAAAGGTATCGACTGCAACAGGCTGCAAGACCCGGGCAGCAAATGCTGGAGCACATTTGCTCAGGTCACTACTCACCAACAGCATTTTCAGTAAAGCAAAGCTTCAGTTATTGTCCTATGCCTTTTTATAATACTAATTATAAATGTTATCAGGAACTTTAGAGGAAGGATCATTCAGAAAGTGGTTGAATAGGGCAGTAATTCCAGCCAATGCTTCTCTTGTTTCATTTCCAGTTTGACAGTTCGTGTTTAATGCCTTAAGAAACAGACCTGAAGTTTGAAAATAGCTGCTTTGTGATACTACACTGAAGTGCTCATCAAACCCAGGAAAAATTATTTTGACACAGACGGTTAAAAAAGTCAGTCATATACTCCTGTAGTTACATATACATATGACATTGCAATATATAGGCAAAATAATTTGGTTGCTGACTTATTCACAGTCTAGAGGCAAAAACTGTTCTGTTCTTTCTTAAAGATAAATAAATAAATAAACCCCACGCCGCCACCACCACCAGATGCGTTTTGTTTTCTGCCACATGAATACTGCAACACAGGGACATTGTTTCTCCTCCTCCCTACAGGTCAAGTTTACCTCTTCTGAAAATGATAATTGTGAGGAATATAATCTCACCTTCCTAAAAGTGGAAACTTGATATACAGTGTTCAGATACTGTTTACTCCTTAATACAGGCTCTCTGTAACACAACCATTAAAGGTTATCATCAAATGCAGGACAGTCTGATAAGGTTCTAATGAACTGGACCACAATTTACAGGAAACATCTTTAAGTGGAGTCTTCTGATTCTCTAACAAATCTCTAATGTATTCTTTAAAAGGAACTCTAATGAAACCAGAGTGATTTAATCAGGGGATATGCAGCATTATCTCACAAGAACACATAAATACCTCTCCATTTAAGATACTGAAAATCCAAGATCTCTAATATAAAATATTAACTCCGTCAATATCATAATTTGAAATTTCTGAAATTAACCAACTAATAAGTACTTGCAGCCAGCCACGAGAGCAGAATGCTTTGCACTGAACCAAGTTATGAGTTCATTTTCACAATTTAAATGCATTCTTAAAGCACAAGAACTACTTGAGGCCAAGGAAGTCCAAGCTTTACAGTTTCACAGCATGCAAACAACCTTCTTTGATGAGCACATTCCCAATATAAGTGGAAAAGGGGTACCAAGACATGACAATTTAAAAAAAAAGAGAGAAGAAACTCATACCCCACCCTTTACACTACTTGAACTTTGATCTTGAAACACTTCAAATATTTAAGATGTTAAACATATGGACCATCCAGACTTTGCAAGAGACCCCTGATCTCAAGTTCCTATTCATTTCCAAGGAGTAGATGCTATATATGCTTCATAGTGATTCCAGAATTAAGAGATCATAGTATTTGGGAGAGAAAGCAGGAGAAAAATCTAAGGGTTCTTAAAGCTTTGTCTTTGCATGCAAAACCATCTTAGAAAAATAAATTATAAAACCCCAAATCTATTGCACGTATCTGTATGGCATTTGTCTGGTATCACAGCAAAGCAAGCTTACACCCCAAACTGCAGAAAAGAAAAGCACTTTTCAAATCTTGCCTTATCCTTGATTCCCATCTGCTGAATGAATTACTCTTTTCAGCAAGAAGTAAAATGTCAGTAAAAACAGCAAGCACTGATAATAGCCTCAAAGATGTGGATTTTTTTAGTCTTTTCAGGAAGTACATTTCCTTTATTCAGCTCAAAAGGCCTCATACTTCCTTTTACCAACTTAAAAGCACATTACCCCTTTTTGTATCTTGTTTTTTTCTTGTGCTTTCCAGCAGCAGGAGAGGCCATTTAGACCTAATAAGCCACAAATAACAGCATATGAGAAACTGCAACAAGGTGGGGATAACTCCACAAAACCAGCAGTAGCATACATTAAATGGGGTTACATATTTAGATACTGAAGCAATTTTTACGTTATCTAGGCTCTTTGTTTTCAAGAGGAAGACAAAAACAAAAAAAATCACAAGCAGGTCAAAATAGATCAGCACTACATTTTCACGATAACCATTTAGGTAAGATTTTGAAGAGAAACTAACAGGTTTATAAAAAGCTTGCTTTCTTTGACTGAATTGGCAAACATTTCCTCTTTATA